AAAAACGAAAGAAATTTTTCATTTTAGTTGTAAGAAATCTTCAGAAAAGTTTAAATAGATTGATGATGACATACGAGGAATGTATTTGTAGGCTGTGTCGCTTCTGACTCATGCCCATATATTTGGCCCTACGAAACACTACTAGATTTGATGATCTTACTTTCGAAGAAACTCGTGCTGTTTTTCAGGTATTTGGCATATTTGGTCACAAATTAACACTGATTCAGCGCAGCTACTGCTCTATCACGAAAAAAGTTCCGCGCCTTAAGACCGGCAAAGCAATTCGGCTATGAACAGTTTCAGCTTTTTGCAGCCGAAATTTGCAATTGGCGAATTGTCATTACGCTGGTGAAAAACTCTAGAAAACAGGCGTACAAGTCGAAGTCATAACTTATTTTTGAAAAAAAACCGTCAGAATTTTGAAAAAAATAGGCAAAAAAGGCGTTTTTAGGCCTTTTTTTGGATAATTTTGAAAAATATTAGGGTCTGTCAATCAAAAATGGATATCTCAAAAAAGTACAAGGGGTGGTCAACTCCCTGAGAGGAGAACGTCCGCCACCCGCCCCCCGCCATCCTCTAAATCCTCTGGTTGGTTTTAAAAAACGCTCTATGATTGTTTGGAAAAAACTTTTGGATTGTGAAAGAGTATTAACAATAAGGTTGCAGTTTTTTAGAAGCTTATTGTTGGTTTAGAAAGGGCCTGAATTTAGTCATCTTCTTTGAAAACTGATATTGAGATTAACCTAATGAAAAGATAGGGGGTTGTGAAATGATATCTAGATGTGAAATGCAGGACACATCATGACTAATTGTATTTGTTGCCGTGATTCAGGTTCCTGGACGTTTCCTCAGAAGGAGCTGGACCTGTTGAACTCCACACCCAATGGAGTGGTGGACTACTACATAGAGAACGATGCCTGGGAACTAATGGGAGTCACTGCTCACAGATCCATCAACGTCTACCCTGGGTTAATTCATATGACTCACAAGCTATATCTTTCTAATTATGACAAAAATCGGACAGCTTCAAAGATTTTTTATATACCTTGCAAACTTATATTCAAATTTTTAGATTAGTTGTCCAATTGAATTATAGCTGTCCGATATTGGCATATATATGGTATTAGTATAGGGAAGGAACTAAAGTGTTGGGTGAGTTTTTTGAGCAGAATTTTAGGTGCATCAAGGAAAGCTCTTAGTTTTCACGCGTGGTGTTATGCTCAAGCCCTGTTGGTCGTTAAAGCGATCGAAAGTTTTTTCCTCAAAACAGTTGTCTCAGTGTCGAGAAAATTGGTCTGAACTTTTCTGGTTTTCAGATTAAATAACACAAAAATTACACTTGCCAAGACGAGAGGCTGAATTTTCATTCTATCTCCATCGCCAATTTATTTTATAAGCAAAATTACGTCTCATTTTGCAGTTTTTTTTTCAAATAAATTCAATTGCTTAATACTAAAAAAACAACAGGTATTTGAAGAAAAATTGATTTTTTATTTCGGATTTTTTTTTTCAATCGTTGTGGCAAGCACATTCTGTGATATTTTTAAAACTTTTGATGTTTTTATATGGAAAAATGCAAGTCAAACTATTTGCCCTTTGCTTGATTGTATTTTTCGAATTTAAAACATTGGATCAATAGTTCACTGCCCCGGACAAACAAAAATTGCGAAATAAAAAATAGTCGCAAAGGGCAAATAAAATTTTTTAAACTATTTTGAGTTGTCCTGTTGAAATGACACTGTCCAAGAGGGGTGGATTTAGAGGGAGGTGCGGGGAGTGGGCGGACGCCCCCTCTCAGGGATTAAACCGCCTAACCAACCAAAGGGTCTTCCTTTTACTATTATTTTATGACATCCAATTCTGGCTAATCCACCCCAAAATTGTCTAAAAGAGCCATCGGCGCCAATATATACTAATTTTGAAGTGGAGCCAAAACTTTCCAAAAATGCCTTTTTCGGCCGTTTTTTTTTAAATTGCCTGCGGTGCAGAATTTGAGTCAAAACACAATTTTTATAGTGTTCTGGGAGCGCTGGGAAAATCAATTTCGTCGACCTAAAAAAATGTTGACAAAAATTTTGAAAATCCGCCGACACTGAGAAATTTTTGGATTTTTTTTGGATCGGCGTTACGACTAGTAGGGTTTTAATAAAAAAAATTACACTTGAACCTTAAAAGACACCTAAAAGTTTGAAAATTTTAAAGGTGCCTCTTAAGGGTTCAAGAGTATGATACTTTTTTAAACCCTATTATTCGTAATGCTGATCACAAAAAGTTCCAAAAAAGTTGTGTCGAGAAAAATTTTTTGTTCTCCAACCAGGGGCAGATCTAGGATTTACTCGGGGGGGGGGGGGGGTCGGATTTTCAAAAAACTTTGAAAAACGGGCAAAAAAAGACGTTCTTAGGTAATTTTTGGAAAATTTTGACCAAAAATTGCTTTTTTCGGCCCGCTCCTCCCTCAAAGTTAGGATATATTGGCGCCTAAGGCGCCTTTAGAAAAATTTTAAGGTCCGTCATCTAATGGATTTCTCAAAATAGTACAGAGGGGGACCCTTTGGGTCGACAGGGGGTCAAAGTCCAGAGGATTTCTGAGGTCGAAATCCCCCCTCCATCCGCTGGTGGTTCAAACTAAATGACATGAAACTTGTGGGGTTTGCCGGCAAAAATGGGATTAGTGAGTTAGTGCCAAAAAGGCTCTTTGGATAATTAAGGCTGGAAATCCTGAGGCGGGGCTACCAATATCCCCATAAATTCGCCCTAGATTGTCCAATCGGAAATTGAAAGTCGATCGAAATCAAAAAGCTTAAATTTGATTCAAAGTTGAGTTCACGCAATTATAATCTCAATCTGTAGGTTCCGATTTGAACAAATTTACAGACATTATATCTATACAAGTTTATCTATTCGTTTTTATAGCTCAGATATTATTTTATCTAATCCAGTTGGAATGTTTTTATGGTCTGGAGCAATATTAGTGGAGATTAGTGGGAAGGGTAATTTGACTTGTTTATTGTTTTCTAATTTTGTTTATAGATATTAAACTTTTGTGACTTGAAATTTGAGCTCAAATAAACTCGTGATTCTTAGAATGAATTAATTATAGATAATCATTTTTTTTTCATGCAACTAATGTTGTTTTTTCTCCAGGTACGATGACCCTTTGGTTGACTTGTGCTACCAGATCCACTTGAAAAGGAGGCCTCGTTTTTTCGAACTGAATATCATTCTACCATGTGCACTGTTGTCTGTCGTGGTCATAGCCGTGTTCTGTCTGCCCTGTGAATGGTTAGTATTCATTGCTCAGACTGCTCAATTATCAGTCTGATTCCAATAGGCAGAGCTATCAACAATTGAAAAAAATTGTGTTTACAACACTGAATCCTTCTCCTTCAAGATGTCGATGCCCTTGCCACCCAAGCGGTCCCTCATTTGGTACTGCATCATTTTTGAGCGAATTACACTAGTCAACCATTTTGTCTTTAAGAAGAGCTCAGAGAATTGAGAGTGCCACATTTTATGAACATCCTTTTCCCCTAGCAAAATATCAAAGACTTGTCCTATGTTTCTAAGTTTTCTCATCAGTTCATTTTGCCGAGTTGTTGACAAAAGCGCTGCCGTAAGCAGCATACGAGAAGTAGCATACGAAGAATGCGACTATGTTTAGTGGCGAGAAGATCACTCTGAGCATCACCATTCTGCTGGCACTGGCCGTGAACAATGTCATGATCTCGGAGAAGATGCCTCCAAGCTCCAAAAACTCACCCGTACTCGGTAAAAGTTCATTATTCGTCCGGTAACAAGACGAACCTGATTCTGTCAGATTGCAGTGCCTTTTCGTTCTGTACTTTTTCTTGAAATATTTTATTCCACCATTGAGTGTGGTATAGTTTGAGCATCAGAACTCATAACAGTTGCACTATCTTTGTAAAAATTGGAAAGTTATAACCTTTTAACAGCAAGAGTAACCAGTTACAGTGTAAAGGGCACAGTATAAATATACGACAGTCATTCATGAAATTTGTTTATTGAATTTTTTTTGTATTTCTTTGCTGTTTTTTTTTGTGTTACAAGAGTTGGTTGGAAAAAATTATTCAATGAACATTTGCGTTGAAAAGTACAAAAAAGCGTTTTATACTTTTGTACTAAGCTTTGGGAGAATAGAATTTCTCATTCGCAGATGAAAATGATTCTGAAAGCAAAATTTTTTAGGAATATTATTCTCGACAGTGAGAACAGTTTTTTCAAAAAATCACGATGGTATTTTGGAGTTCAAGTTATGGGTGAAAATGATTTATTTTGCGGCCACTCTTCTTCGAACAATTTTGTTTATGCTAGTCAAAATCGCGCATAAAAAACAACGCCATAGTTATATTTAACTGTAATAGAAAAAAAACAGGAACCATGACACAGTATTTTTTGAGCACGATTCTTTTTAGCTCAAAGAAAGAACTTAGGCAAACAACAGTGACTGCGCAATCAAATCTTTTCATACGCGATTTGAGTTCCCAGACGTGATAGTTTACAAAAAAAAACACTTTCTAAAATGTTTGCTCTGTTTTTGGTTAAGAAACCTTTTTGTTATTAATGTTATTGAAGCGATACCGTGACTTCGCCATATCCTCCCATAACAACACATAATTATCAAATCCATGGCGTAAAGAGTAGTTTTACTAAGTTAAATGAGGAAAACGAGCCAGAAGTAACTCATTTTAAGCACTGACCGAGAAACTTTTTTTGTTGATTCAAAAGTTTTCCACCAATCTGTGTCGCGCTGTTTTTTCTCGTTTTTTTCTCAATAAAAAGTATGATAAGTTGTTCCAGCTAAAGTTGTTAAAGTTGTTTTTGTTAAAGTTGTTTGATTTCTGGTTTTTTCCTATGTTCGCTTGAATCAAATTCAAACTCTACAATAACAGCTGTTCAAGCGAGCCAGGGGCAATTGGCAATCACGGTTCTTGGCTCCTTGCTATTTGCCCGCTTTGCTTAACCTCCTCACAACTCTATCTTGTAACTCTCTCTGTGGTTTCAAATTGCTCAAAGTAGAAAAAAAATGAACAAAAAAAATCAAAACTCTTTTATCTAATTCTTTTGGTAATTTGGTCAAAGGCTTTTTCGTTTCTCTACCAGTTGCTGGTATAGACACGCGTAATAGCACTCGAGAAAATGTGAAAAAGTGAAAAACTTTTTACGTAAATTTATTGAATTGATGAAATTGACAAAAGTTGAAAAAAGTGATTTTTTTAACATCATATTCAACACTCGCCAAATTGTTTTTTTTTCAACGAAACAGATGACACAAGTGATATAACTGAAAATTATATGTCTTGAAGTTCTTTGTTTGAAAGATATGAGAAATTCAATGCAAAATAAGGTTAAATTTCGATTATAAAAAAGAGAAAGTTTTTTCTCTCGGATAGAGGTTCGAAATTTTTCACTCATTTTAAGAGTGCCCGACAGATAAATTGGATCAACGACCTTTTTGAGCGTCGGAAAGAAAGTGTCGTTGAAATTATTCAGTATTATAAAATAAGCAAGCTTAGCAAATAAACAATATGATTTGTATTGTATCCTATCGGGATTTGAACTTGTTTATCCGGCTAGTGGGACTAAAATACATACGCTAGGCTATAAGAAAACTTGAAAAAATATTGAAAGTTTTCAAAAGGTAATCAATTCTTTGTTTAATTCCCCAATTTTCCCGGTAAAAAGTTGGATTTTCCCAGGAAAGTGAAAAAAAATTCCACTTCTAATTTGCCTTTTCCCTAGCTTGGGAAGCAAATCACAATGGAAAAAACATGAAAAAAATAGCAAAACTTTGCAGTCGTCACTTTCCTTGTCAAAAGAATAACTTAAAAACTCGCGGGGGCTCGTTAAAAGTGTCTATAGTTTCTGTTTTCTTCAAATGATATCAGTAATTTCAAATTGATCAAAACAAAAAAAAACTGAAAAAAGTCCGCACTTGCATTTCTGGGGCTCGAACTGCCTCCTCTCGTATTTTGGTCAGATTTTTTACCACTTCACTACCTGTTGCTTGCATAGACTCACTCGATAGAACTCATTAAAAGGTGAGAAAGTCATGTTGTTTTGATATGAAATCATCAAATTGATGAAATGGACAAAAAATGAAGAAAAAAAAAACGATTTTTTTTTTAAAATCAGAGAGAGCATGTATGATTCTGATCTTAGTGAAAAGAAAACAATAAAAAAGTGATACCTCTGCACTGAAAGTCGCATGTCTGTGTACTCGCTCGATATTAGACTAAAACTCAAACCGGTTTTTTGACACTGAAAAAAGTTTTTTCAAAAGTTTTATTTTGTTCGAATCAGGGCTGAAAGATTTTTAATATGTTATATCGGTCCCGCCACAGCCAGCTTGATCATTATTTAATTGGGATACCTGATTTCGCCTAAAAAAATACGAGAAACTAAAACACAACCAAAAACAATGTGTCTCCGCGTTTTAATTGATCGGAACAAAAAAAAATTAAATTCCTGAGATTTCTTCGGGGTAATACATCACCTCAAACTGCTGTTTCACGCCAGAGATGGTTTTTTCATAATGAAAACTACACAATTTAGTTTTCTGGTAAAGAACTTATGTAGAGTGATTTTTTTGTTAAAAGCCAACTTAATCATTGGGTTGTGCCCATCCCATTTGCGCTGAGTCTACACTGTAGATTTAGTCGACTGTATTTTGTGGCGGGAGACTCAGTAGAACCGTTTGTTTTCTACATTACATTTTTGGTATATTGGAAAATTTTTTCATCTATTGGTGCATCGGCGACTTTTGTTGTGCTGTCTGCAATTTTCAACGTAGACGCAAGTATTTTTGATTTACTCGTGTAATTTGCCTAATTATTAGCCCTGACGCTGAGTTTTCTCCCAGTTTTTTTTTATTTCTTATGCCTGGTCAGCACTCAAAATTAGTAAAAACGAAATTTTCAAGCCGGTTTTTTCTCGACACAATGAAAAATTTTTCAAAATTTTTAAATGCCATTCGAATCGCGACTGAGATGGCTTTAATATGATATATCATTTGTTCCATTTCGATGAACATTTGGGATCCTAATGTTGCGTTGAAAACAAAAAAAAACGAAAACAAAATTAAAAGGCACCTGAAAACGAAGTTCCTCCCCATTTTCATTGGTCGGAACTATAACACAAAAAAACACGAATAGTTTTTTTGCTTTAACAAATTGCTTTTAAACTTCACATCGAAATTTAAAAAACATACAATCTGATCCAGTTTCTTTTTCACATCGGGATATCTTTTTCAAAAAATTCACAACTTGAAAGGATTCTTGTTGAAGTTCAAAGAGCATTAAGAAAATATTTTTTTCATCACCGAAAATCAAAATTTAAAATCCATGATAAACCATCAAAATTTCAAGTCTCTGCTCATTCCTTGTATGTATAGGTTCCGACCACTGGAAGTGGGGAGGAACTCTGGGTTATGTTTTATTTTTTTAAATTTTTTTCCAAAGTAAACCAGGTACTTTTCAAAATGGTTTGTATCAAATATCATATTGAAGATATTTTAGTCACAATTCGTTCGGCATCAAAAAGCTTGAAAAGGTTTGCTCAACTTCGAAAGTATTTAGTTTGACAATTTCGCATTGTTGTCTTATTCCGAGCGTGTAAAACGAACGAGTTGCTGTTATAACAGGAAAAATAGGAAACACGTTTGGCTAAGCAATGAAAAACCCAGTTTTACGACAAAAAACTAATTTTCAAAGTTTCCTTTAGCGCTTCCAGAACAATAAAATTTCTTAGATCAGTCAAAACAGAAACGAAAAAAAAATGTTTAACGTCACGTCTTATAAATCTTTTTTTAAAAATTTTTGTTCATTTTTCCACGACAACTGTTGTCGGCTATGCCTTATATTTAGTCTTATATTCAGAACTTACGCTCTTAAGCCTATACCCAGTTCGTCTCACCGCAAAAAAAAATACAAGTTTGAAAAAAATTATGTTCTTTTTATCTAGTTTTCTTTATGAATGTGGTCGAAACCTTCGCTGCTACTTGATAATGACTCACATGTATTTTTACTTAACTTTTTAAATATCGATAAAGTCATTGAGTTGGATGCTCTTCTTTCGATGTTTTTGATCCAGGGATAGTTTTCAGTGGGTACCTAGTTGGTCTTTTACCTATACTCCATAATGTGATATTTTATTCTGAATGTAAATTAATTTTGTAATCTAACTGCATCCATACTGTGCGAATTTTATTGTCTTCTTTTTCTACCTGCACAGCAACTGGATACTCTTTTTAACAATACTTTTAAATTTTTTGTAGCTCCAATTTTGCGTTTTTATTAAAGAATGAAATACACACTCTTTATCTCTTTTAGGAGACTACTTCCTTGCCCAAGTGTCCTTGGTGATGGCATCGGTGTTCGCCAGTGTGCTGGTGCTGACTATCCACCACAAGGGCACCAGACGCAAACCCATCCCCCCTGTCATCCGCCAATGGGCCTTCGAGAAACTGGCCAAATACGTCTTCCTACAGAACTCGCTTACAAGTGTCCGGAAGAGGAAACGGTTCCCCGTCAAAGGTAACAGTGATACGAGAAATTTTGATAGGATGATTTTTAAGGCTCTCAAGATCACAATAATGTGTTTTACTTTGATCACAATAAATGGTCTGAAGAAAATTAAAAACAGGACTATAATCGTATATCAGTGCAAAGCCTTGAAAATTACGGTTATCTTTGAGCATGGATGCAAATAATTTTGGTTGAAAATATGCAACAAAACAGATTTTCTTTTCATTTTTTTCTGTACTTAAGCCGACCACACGCTTTGTAAAACATAAACTATCAAATTTTGCGCGTGCAAATGAAAACAGCAAAATCTTTTGCTTCAATTCAATTTGGAATGATATTTCGGACCATTGAAAACGGGGAGAAACTTTGTACTCGGGTGTATTTTAGTTCTTAATTTGTTTTCACGCAAATTCAGGTACCACAAACAATTATTGGAATGGGTCGAAAGCTTTATCAATAAAAAGCATTTTTAATTACGAATCGAACGACGCTAAAGGTTTTTGAGAAAGTTGTCCCAGTAATGAGATAAACTGGTATGAATTTTTAAAATTTTGTTTAATTTCGATCGAGTAACGCGATCAAGTAACGCTCTTCAAATGGAAATTTACTGTTTTCTAGTTTTTTTAAGATATAACTTGTTTTGAATGGTTTTAGCGCTTGTTTGGCAAAAAAGGGGGCTCTAAAAAACTAAAATTATTGTGCAAAAATTAGAAAAAGTTTCAAATATTCTTTCTTTTTCTTTTTCTTGCTTTTTTTAAAATTTTTTGAAAACAATTGTTGTCGATCATGCTTATATCATCAATTTTAGTTTTTGGATCCCACTTTTCACTAACAACGACACTAACTTTAAGAAAACAAACTTTTTTTTCCTTTTTTTTTTCATTTTTTCATGTAAATTAAGCCGCCCACACGCTATCTAAAATACAAAGCGTCTAATATTGCGCGTGCAATAAAAAAAAGCAAAATTTTTTGCTTCTATTCAAATTGAAATGATATTTCGGACCATTGAAAATGGGGAGGAACTTTGTATTCGGGTGTATTTTAGTTGTTTAGTTTTTTTTTTTCACGCAAATTCAGGTACCACAATAAATTATTGGAATGCGTTGAATGTTTTACAAAATATCAATTATGATTTGAATGAAGTTAAACACCTATGAGAAGTATGTCCCAGTGTTGAGAAAAACTGGTCTTAAATTTTTGAAATTTTGTTTAAATACGATCGAGTAACGCGATCAAGTAACGCTCCTCATATGGAAATTTACTGTTTTCTAGTTTTTTTTGTAAAGACCAAAATGGTTTTGAATGTTTTCAAGCGCTTGTTTAACAAAACAGGGGTTCTAAAAAACAAACATTATTGTGCAGAAGTCAGAAAAATTTTTGAATATTCTTTTTAAAATTATTTCTTTTTCTTGTTTTTTTTTCTTTTTTGAAAACAAATATTATCGATCATGTTAATCTCAACAACTTTATACGCGATCACTTAGATCTTGAATCACACCATTTACTAAAAACGACACTAATTTGAGGAAAAAAACTTTTTTTTCTCATTTTTTACGAACCCTTCCGCTAACCCTATATGTCAAAACAAGTTACGCGTAAGTAATCCCAATTTGAATTATAGAGTTTAAAGAAAAATGACCGCAAATGATATTTATATTTGATTTCGAGCTTTTGGCCCTAATTTTTTTCAGATGGTAAAAAAAATTCCGCCAAAAATTGCTAGTTAAAAAATTTATATTGAAATCGTCTCCGAAAATGTATCCGGCAATGGCATCGGAAAAAAATGGAGCATTTTGTTCGCAATCAAGAAGTAGAGAGGAAGTTTGTATTCGAGTTTTTTTTGTTGGTTGTTTTCCAGGTTCCCAGCCACCTGGTAAAATTACAAAATATTTTTGTAATATCTTTTCCACGCTCTTCATTTGATCAATTTCTCCAGTTGTTCGCACTGGAATGTTTTATTTCAGTTTAGATAAGCGAAAGTCATTTTCGCAGGCTTTTGTGAAACAATTCTCAACAATCATTACGCAAACTAATTAAAGCTTTTTAAAATAAAAATCACTAACCGCAAACACACGTTAGATTGGTTGATTAGTAAGTATATCACAAGCAAGTTTGGCAGTAGTGATGAGATTCATATTTGAAACTTTTGATATACTTAACAATTACCCCCCTCCCCCTTATGGTGTCTAATGAAGAATCTTCATTCTTCTCAATGCAAACAGAATGTTAACCCTAAAGCTTTCTAATCAGAGGTATAATTTTGTTGCATTCTGATTGGTCACCATTTTGACTGACTTAACTTTCCCTAAAATTTTCTTCAAAACCCTTCTTAGAAAAGAGGCTAAAAAGTGTTGTACGCTTTGAACGTTGATTCAAGCGGTTTTCAACCAATCCTAATAAAAAAATCGACTTATGATCAGAAAATGTTTTTTTTTAGGTTTTTTCTATTTTTTTTTTTGCAAACAAAACGGCAGTGAGATCTTTTTTGCTCTGCTTGCACGGCAACCGGCTAGTTTTTTCTTTAATTTGGTTTTGCACGACCACAGAAAGTAGACTGCCGGTGTTTTCCCAGTAGAACTCAGTTAGCCCGAAAATAAACTTCAAGTGGAGTCAGGTGATATATCACATCGTTTATTATATCCGTTTAAACAAGATGCAAGAAAAATTTTCCATAGCTGTCCCAGTTTCAAGAAAAAATGGTTGGAAAAATTTGCAAAAAACAGCAAATTTTTCTCGAAGCTGGAACAGCTATGGGAAATTTTCCTAGCATCTCATTTAAACGGATACAATAATTGATGTGATATATCACCAGACTCCATTTGAAGTATCTTTTCGGGCTAACTGAGTTCTACTGGGAAAACACGGGCATTCTACATTCTCTCCCACTTTCACTGGTCGTGCAAAAACAAATTTAAGAAAAAGCTAGCCGGTTGCCGTGCAAGCAGATCAGAAACCCCAGATCAAGTTTTTTTTTTATAATTTGTTTTCTGAGTAAAAGTAGCGCTAATTGAGAATTCAGGATTGGTTGGAAACCGCTTGAATCAACGTTTAAAGCTTGCAGCAATTTTTAGCTTCTTTAAAATGAAAAATAATAAATCCACTCGCCAAGTGATGAGTGACTTTCACTCCAATTTTATCTTAAGCGCCCACAGGTTTTCAAAACAGGTTTTTTCTCGATAATGAGGATATATACTTGGGCATGCAATGATAAACCAATCAAAAAAGTCAGTATACAGAAAGTAGAGATGCCAAATTATTCAAAAGTTAGAAAAGTTGCAAGAATTTTTTGTTTCTTGAAAATCAACTGGTTATTCATCTTAGCTTATGTCTTTGATTGTTATTGTTGATCTTCCAAGGTCATCAAACGTTTCTGATGGCGAATGGAAGCGCCATGAAAAACGGAAGCCGAGCAGTTTCAAACAACTTAAACGACGTCCAATACACAGACAGCGATGGTAAAGTGGAAAACATGAAGTTCCCAATGATAGCGAACCACGCGTGCGACCGTCGGGACACTTCGGGAGGAAACGTTGCGGGAACACATCGGAAGAACAACAACGCAGAGGATTTCTCGAATTGTGAGCAAATAGCCGAGGAAGTTGAGGTTATGAAGAAATCTCTCTTGCAGATTCGAAACTTCATTCGGCAGCATGAACAGGCAAGCTCGTGAAAATGAATTGCTCGTACATTTGATTGCTGTGTATCTAGGTCACATTATTTACATTTTTTTTCTGTCAAAATTTTTAAGGCCAAATCAAACAAAAAAAAGCTAGATGATTAATAACAAAACAGATTAACCGTTAGAGTACCACATATTTGTTATCTTCAGTTTTGTACCTGAAATCAATTGAGCTTTAATGGCGAGCACGAGCGGATTTAGGGGTAAGGCTGCGGACATTTTCTTTCTCAGGGATTCGACCCCCCTGCCGACTCAAAGGGCCCACCTTTGCACTTATTTAGGATCTCTATTTTCTGCTGACGGTCCCTAAATTTTTTCTAAATGTGCCTTTCGCGCCAATATCTCTACTCAATTTAAGGGGGAAGCGCACGCCGAAAAAACCCGATTTTTGTTGGTCAAAGTTTTCGAAAAAGTGGCTAAAAACGTCATTTTTGTCCCGTTTTTTTTTGCTTGCGGAGCAGAAAATTTGGTCAAAATAATGTCTTTTTTATAGTATGAGCGCTCGGAAAAGCTTGATTTAAGTTGACTAAATGAGTAAATTGAGGCGTCGTTTTAGAGTCCGAAAAGAATTTAACTTAGTAGAAAAAATACAGATTACTCATATTGTTAATTTGATTTTGAGTATGAAATTTCTGATTGTTGAACACAGGAAGTGGAGAATGAGACAGAGTGGAAGGAATTGGCCATGGTGATTGACAGACTGTTCGCACTTGTCTTCTTCATCGTCTCTTCGATCGTCTCAATTGTGTTCATGCTTCTCATGCCACTCGGCGCCGAATGGCAGCTGCAGAACAAACTGGCCAATCCAGGATGCGACCACTAGTCCTCCTTCTTACATTTATATGCAGACTTAATTAACACTATTTGCTATAATTACTGTAGGTTTTACTTTTTCTAAAGGGATTATATTATAACAACTTTTGCATAAAAATAAATCTTTACTTCGACATTTTTGTTTAGAGCTAGATACTTCTATTGATGGCGTTCTTTGATAAAAGCTTTTGATAACTGAGAAACACTATTCTTCAGAGAAGGCGCCCGGGGGAGGGGGAGACATTATTTGATACGTTTTCAATGGCATCACTCTTCGGTCAACCAATTTTCAAAATTTTCAGATGCCAAACTGCAGTAGTAAAATATAGAGTGGAAGGGCAGTACGACAACCGTTGGATCCATGGCTTAACAAATGGCCCAAAAAGCCCACTTTTTAAAAAGACCATTACCGGAGGTGTTGAATTTCTGCTGAGGTAGCTTACTTCATGGTTTAGGCAGAACTATCCCAAAAACAAAAGGGATGAGCTTACCAAGTTGTACAAAATCAAAATAAAATTCGTAACTACAAAGACTAATCATTAATTTTAGCGTTAATGGCGTAAGGCTTTGGGCATTATTGGCATAATCTTCTCAGCACTAATGGCGTGAGCTAGAAATCTTTGAAGGGTTTCCTACGCAAGACACTAATGATGAGATTATTAATAATTACTATAAATATAAAACTATCACTTAAGAGAACCCCATTAAACCTGGGCTAGAGCGTCATGTAGCATGTTTTCAAGCGTCCCAAATCAGTATTTGGTTTACCCATTTAGCCGAAATTTTCAGGAGTAAAGTTTCTGTTACTGACTGGCTCCAATAGTACGAAACTAGCTATACATACGAAATTCTGAAGAAAATCACATAATACATAAAATATACCACTCAATCGATTTTTCAGGCAAACTACCCTTGAGTTTATGTTGGTAATAAGTAGTAGAAGTAGTAATTGGGATAATGTTATGATTGTTTTTCAGCTTTCCATCGCCCTCGTGAAATATGAAGGAGCCATGGCGTACGGGCGAGTTTTTTTTCGCAGAATTTGATTAAATCAAAACGGGTCAAGTGTGGTTTTTTTTAGAAAATAAAATATATGAAAACATCTCAGCTATTCAACTTTTTTGCTATTTGAAATTCAAAATTAGCATAGATTGGGTAGTTTCTATTCATTACAATGATGAAATATTTAGAAAAATAGCCGACTATAAAGCTTGAAAAACTTGTTTAAAAGAAACTGCAGTTTTATCAAATGTATGTTTAGCAAACCACCAAACAATTTTCGGAAAAAAATTGAAAAAAATTGATACATTTTTTCCAAATGTTATCTATATTTTTTGCAATCACAACTGTGTTTGCTTTTTTTGGCACTTACACAGTGACCGAGTATTCCTGTTTGTTATTAGTTAATGTTATTGCGTCCGTACTTTTTTGTTCCAATTTTCAAAGCAGGTGACAAACTATTTTAGAACTGGTGGTTTTTCCTTTTCAGACAAATGTGGACTGTCAAACTAACCAGTTTGACGTTTCCTATTTATAGCATCTAAAAAATAATGATAATTATATTACCAGCGACCTGTTTTGTTCAATTTTGGGGGTTTGAAAAGAGCTATTTTGGCTACCCACACCAAAGTCTCATGAATATAAATCGATTATAATGAAATTTTTTTGACTAAAATGTTGTCTATATAGTCAATTATCATGGCAAATTTAGACAACGTAATCTATTTTTAACCCGTATAATCATCTGTTTTCAAAAAAGATAATTCATTATAACTCATTAAAATCGATTATTTTTTGTAATCTTTAATTCTACTTTTTTGCAGCTTCTGCAAGTTTCGAGCTCGAACGAACACGTTCATCTCCATAATCACGTTTCACTGCTGCCCCCATGTCCCCCGCAACAAATACACAAATGTCCCCCGCTAAAAAAAAACAAATTTAGCGCAATCACAAAATAACTAGCTTAAATTTAAACTTATTATCAACAAATGAAAATAGCACACAATTTTTTTAAAAAAAAAATTGATCAGAATAGATTATAATCAGTTATAATAGTTTATTTTTTGTTCAAAAACTTTTTTGAAAATAGCTGAAAATAACCAAATATAATTGATTCAATATGGTTTTTATTGCTTCGAAAAATATTACCATTATAATATATGTCTAATGAATTATAATCGATTTTTTTTCTTCAAAATTTAGAGAGACAGACTATAAAATGCAATTAAGTCCATTATAATCCATAAAACTTCAGTGCAGGTAATTTGGAGTCAGTAACGCCCATCTAATCCATCTTTTTGTCCCGACTTTCAAAAAACGAAAAGTTTATGCTTGGTGTGGTTTTTTATTCAGTCAATTTTTGACGTTCGAAATAATAGTTTTAAAATTAAAATCATACCCCGCTGAAGGTATGGAATTCCTGAATCAAAATTTAAAAAGATGATTTACCACCAATCGTTTTTTGCAAAGTTTTGGGAGTTTGAAAATGGCCAATTTGGCCATGCTATAAACTAATTTACGCGCGTTTTGAATTTTTTTTTCAAAATGCTGAAAGCGTAACGCGAATTACTTATGCGTACCGAATCATCCCGCACAAAATAAGAGGTTAGCTAGTCCGTCAACTCATTTTTGTGCGATTAATTTTTTCATAATTGATCTCCGGTATTGTTCAAAGTTTTCAGTTTTCCAAAATTTTCTTTTACCAAAAACCATTCAAGACCATTTAAAGGGCAGCCAGAACAATCAGGATCCTGCCCTGATATACAAGCTGTTTTGCTTAAGCCTAAGTAACTAATTGATCATTTCAAATAGGATTGAGGCAAGCAACTTGCTCTGCTTAATACATTACCAGAAGTAATTTTATTCTTTTTCAAGTTTAATCTCTTTTAATTATGTATGAGTTTTCAAAACCTTTCCTGAAAAACTTATCTTAAGTTTTGCCAAAGAAACGCAGGTTGTTTGCTAGAAAATCAGTTTTAATTTTTTCAACTTCATTTTTATCAGATTGAGAAAAAGTGAAAAAACCTTTTTACAAACTCATTTCCAGATAAACTGATTTGAAATTTTGCTAAAGAACACGTTTTATTTTTTTTCAACTTGAGTTTTATCAGTTTAGGAAAATTAGAAAAAATCTAACACTTTATTTTTTAAATCTAAGCAATCTGTTTCATATCTGATCCACTTTGAACTTGAGTTACAATTCAGAATTAAGCATTCAGAGTTGCAATTCATTTTTCTGCATATATGAATCAGTTATGCTGTAGCGCCACTTTTAACAGTTTTGTGTTTTTAGAAAACTGACGTTTCAAAAAATAAAATCTTCTTGGTTTTTGGATTTTGATATCACACATGTCAAATTTTCTGTATTATCATTGTTTCAACTATCCTATCTATCTACCATCAATGAATACTGGCAAAGATAAAACCTATCTATTAAGAGTTTTTTGGCTGGTATATATCTTATATTTTTCAAAGCAAAGCAGCAAAAAAGCTCTAAAATAAATTGCAACCCCAAACTCGGGATCTTTTTTCAATGGATTCATAATTTGACATACTTAGTTGAATGCGGTTTGGCCTTGAATTTGATAACATAAGATTTTATATGAGAACTAAATTCTTTTTTTTTAAATTTTTTTTACAAATGTTATAAAAGAAAAGTTTAGTGAAATTTTAAAATCTCGGTTATTGAACTTTCATTTTTAACTATCTTCAGCGGGCAAATTTTGCCTATTAGTTTCTGTAATTTCTCGATTGGCAATTTTTAAATTAATGGCAGCTTATTTACGTCTTCCCAAAACGAGTTAAACCACAGTCCCGGCTATTATTTTAGATTGGAATAAAAGGATACAATTTTAAGTCTTCGATTCTTCTTCTCTCTATTACACAAAAACTAGGAAAATTTTGAATCAATTTTTTACGTGTCTTACAACAAAAGTCGGCTCCTTGATCAATACATATCCGTTATTCGCAGAGGCCGATCTAGGAATTTCTCGCCGGGGGGTGGTTTTTTATACAAAAAATCAAAAAATTAGTTTAACATTTTTTAGATCAAATTGATTTCCTGAAAATCAAAAATTTCAATTATTTGCGCCGCAGGCGAATTTTTGAAAATCTAGCCAAAAAGCGTCATGATTTTTGGCCTGCGTAATTCCTGCTAAACAATTTGGTCACAAAAGGGTCGTTATAGTGGATTGGTAGAGCTCAGAATATCAGAATTTTCGATTTTTTATGGGTCCGCAGAGGGTCGACTACCATTAATTCCGGTACTGAATCCTCGTAAGCTTTTACTGCTCTCTTTGTCGTCACTAACACATGGAAATTACGTTAGCAGCATAACCTATTCTGTTCCAATTCACCCTATTCCATTTTACCCTATGCCATTCTACCCTATATGCCAATTTACCCTATGCCAATCTACCCTACGCTAAGTTACCCTACGCCTAAATTAAGAGGAATAATAACAGCAAAATAGTGATAGTTGCAATCGCGCCACCGTGTCGCAAGGTTGCCCACATTCTTTCACAATTTAGCAATAACTTCTTAGGATAAAAATATTTTTTCATCACCCGTCTTCTTTTTACAGATCTCACAGATTTTTATCAGGAAGTTGCAATCTTTTGGGTTCCGCTGCCCATAAGAGTTGTATTAAATAGCAGCAGGCAAACATTTACAACTGAAATTAAAGTTTACAAAAAAATTCAACAAGTTTCAGTGAAGGTAAGCTTCTGGTTTAAGACAAAATGCTAATCTGACAACCAAAAGAGCGGAGGAGTTTTATGTGGATTTCCCGGAGCAATGGCTTAGTTATTGGTTAAGTTGGTTCAATTAATCAAATTTTGAATCGCGTATCTTAAAGTTGTGAGTTTTTTTCTCGTTGGCCAGACTGACTGTGGGTATTTTAGGAGAGTGTTGGAGTCGCTAGCAGGGGGCATCCTGTGTGCTCACCCGATCGGAGTGGGTGTGTTGGACCCTTGTGAACCCCAAGAGATAGTGGGCTTGACTGAGGGTCTGATGCTACAGAGTAAGGAGGATGTGACCGCAAGTGCACAACACGCTCTCAGACAAACAGTTTTCAAACAGATACACAAGGTAAACAGAATAGAGCTCGCACAAAAAGCGAGTTCAGAACATCGGA